CAAGATAGAGTACAAATGCGGTCGAGTCCAAGATGAGACCAAGACCACTGAAGACCACTTTTTGATGGTCTTGCAGGTGTGGGTGAGATGGATGATGTTTCTTGTGCAGTCAACATTGTTGTGCATTTTATGCTGAGTATTTTTGTCGACTTAGTAGTAGCCTATGCTATGCCCCTTTGATGCGCCGTAATACAGTATTCTTCCCAACCCGCTGTAATTTGTAACAATCAACTCATCCCCCATTACATTTCATAAAATACTCACTAGAGCACCACATGTGGATTCATCCCCCATTGAAAATAGTAGGATGTTCTTTGGTACATTAGGTGATTCTAGGAGTCCTGGAGTTGGTTCTTCTGGAAGTCACTGAGGAGTTTGTAGGAGTTTTAAAGGAAAATTTTCCCAAATTTCCCAAAGTCCCAAATTTTGGGAAATATGCTTATTTGGTTTCCATCACTTCCCAAGAAACTAAACAAACTGTAGGCCTCAGGTGAGAATGCCAACGATCGTTCAGACTTGGCCTGTTTTTACAACAGCCAGGAGCAACGAACCAGCGGTATTGATCATCTTGACAACGCCACAGAGGTTAAATAGCTGAGGTTACTTACGCATTTATCGCATTAGAAAAGTTGATGGACCACGCCTGCCTGGTTTATCCGCTCCAAATCAGCTAATGGAAACGCACCTATTTCGCATATACTTTTTTTCCCTCTTTATTGCAACATTTCAAAAGTCCGCATGATAATTAGATGGAAACATGACTAGCCCGAACTGAAAAAGTCTCTTGGATGATGGGAAAAAATCTTCTAGTATCTTCAACCAAGTCCAGTTGCTCTTGATTTTAACCTTCCTTGGATAACTATTACCTGGATGACTGGGAACCTTCACAGACATCTTATTTGCTTTCTTGCAAAGAGTTAGATGAAAGGATTGATTCCACTATGTACTGTAAAGTTTAAGCTACGGCTGGCAGTGTTTTTATATGATGTCGAACCAGAAAAGGTAAATGGGTTACACTGACTGTGTTATAAAATGTCATGAATCAAACCATAATAATTCTTTATGAAGGCAGTGTGAATAAATGGTGGACTACACACTGTGTTGTAAGAGGAAGCACTGTCCTCCCTGTTGTCCTTCCTTTTGTAATTGTGTGTTGCTTTTATTGATCTGTGAAATGCTTGTAAAAAGTAAACAGCCATGATGGGAATGATAATCCTCAACCTGCACCTGATGGAAGATAACGCAGCTATAAAATGTAATGGCAGGAAAAAATAATGGAGGGCAAAGGGACTGAGTAAGCTTCTGCAGACTAACTGGAACACACTGATATTACAGCTACACAGGCTGTTATGTATACTGTATGCTGGAGAGACAAATACAGTACATGCAGACTGACAAAGTATTTATTGTGTGTTGTAAAGTAGTAGTACAGCAAAAGTTGTTAAGAATCATGCATATAAAACTGAATAAACAATAAATAAAAGAAACGAGGCGTACAGTGTGTGTACAGAACATGCAATTGTTCACATAAAAAGAAAATATTTAAAGATTGAAAATAATATACCAAGATCTGCGAAAATGTGAGTTAATCTACCATGCAACAAGCCCGTCCTCAAAAAAACCTGCCTTGTGGGGCAATTAAGCAGCAGCTATATTTATGTTTTATATAGAAGAAGTCAGGTGACGTAGCATAAAGACCAACAAAGGCTGTGTAAGGAGGTGGTCAACCTGTTCCCATCCCAGAGCGTCACTTATGGGTGCTTGGTCAAGACCATTTGGTGTAGCAGTTTACCGCTCTGGGTACCTTTTAGCGTCGTTTTTGTACACACTGGGCAAGAATAACTATGCAACGTCAAATTAGACTTTCAAAATAAAAGTTGTGGTTAATATTGTGAAACAACTCTGTAAGGTTTTCGGTAAGCTTCATGGCAACACTACTTATGTTACGTAACTTACGTAACAGTCACTAAAAGGAATCAATGCTGGCTTTTTGTTTCACGGGAAACAAACAACGCTCTCCTGGGGAAAAGTATTTTCTGTTATTTATAGTAGGCTAGTACTTTTGCGCTGAACAATGGCGCTAAGGGACTTCTAGTCAGTCCCTCCAGGATTTCACGTTGTTGCGATCGAAACTATTAACACAAATTCAGCAAGTTCCCATGACTTCAGAGCGAATTGCAATTTTGACAATTGCTGCAACTTTTCCACAAATTTGACCTATAATCACCGTTTCAGGCAAAAACGTTGTCACGCATCAGCAAACTCACTTCCTTGTTTACAAGACGTAGCAGACATGTGATACCAGCAAAGGGGACCGTGAAGAACAGGATCCAGATCTTCTTAAGCAAAGCGAGGGAAACTATTCTGCTAACGTGCAGTATTTTGATCGAACACTGACATACACTTTGCCTCAAACATACGCAGAGAATAGCAGAAACACATGGAGGATGTCAGACGAGACACTGAGACACAGGCTGCTGCATCCTGGTCAGCAGCAAGAAAGATCAGCTGGTTTAAATATGCAGGGTTAGGGTTATTCCCACAATTTCAATGGAAAAAACACCTAACAACATCACAATAAAAATTTAATGCTCTGGGTAGAGTGGGTTGGCTGTTAATCGGAAGGTCGGCAGTTCAATCCCCGGCTCCCCTAGGCTGCATGTCAAAGTGTCCAGATAGTGAACCCCGAATTGCCCCTGGCGGCTGTTCTGCCAGTGTATGAATGTGTGTGAATGTTAGTTTCTGATTGAGCACTTAGGCTCAGCGTATGAATGTGTGTGAATGTTAGTTTCTGTTTGAGCACTTAGGCTCAGTGTATGAATGTGTGTGAATGTTAGTTTCTGTTTGAGCACTTAGGCTCAGTGTATGAATGTGTGTGAATGTTAGTTTCTGTTTGAGCACTTAGGCTCAGCGTATGAATGTGTGTGAATGTTAGTTTCAGTTTGAGCACTTAGGCTCAGCGTATGAATGTGTGTGAATGTTAGTTTCTGTTTGAGCACTTAGGCTCAGCGTATGAATGTGTGTGAATGTTAGTTTCTGTTTGAGCACTTAGGCTCAGTGTATGAATGTGTGTGAATGTTAGTTTCTGTTAAAGCACTTAGGCTCAGTGTATGAATGTGTGTGAATGTTAGTTTCTGTTTGAGCACTTAGTCTCAGTGTATGAATGTGTGTGAATGTTAGTTTCTGTTTGAGCACTTAGGCTCAGTGTATGAATGTGTGTGAATGTTAGTTTCTGTTAAAGCACTTAGGCTCAGTGTATGAATGTGTGTGAATGTTAGTTTCTGTTAAAGCACTTAGGCTCAGTGTATGAATGTGTGTGAATGTTAGTTTCTGTTAAAGCACTTAGGCTCAGTGTATGAATGTGTGTGAATGTTAGTTTCTGTTAAAGCACTTAGGCTCAGTGTATGAATGTGTGTGAATGTTAGTTTCTGTTAAAGCACTTAGGCTCAGTGTATGAATGTGTGTGAATATTAGTTTCTGTTTGAGCACTTTGGCTCAGTGTATGAATGTGTGTGAATGTTAGTTTCAGATTGAGCACTTTGGCTCAGTGTATGAATGTGTGTGAATGTTAGTTTCAGTTTGAGCACTTAGGCTCAGTGTATGAATGTGTGTGAATGTTAGTTTCTGTTTGAGCACTTAGGCTCAGTGTATGAATGCAAATGTAGTGTAAAAGCGCTTTGAGTGGTCGAAAAGACTAGAAAGGCGCTATACAAATACGGAGCATTTACATTTACAAATTTGCTGATGACACCACGGTGGTGAGGCTCATCTCTGGGGGTAACGAGTCTGCCTGCAGGGACGAGGTGAAGCAGCTGACAGTGTGGTGCAGCGATAACAACCTGCTCCTGAACACCGTAAAGACCAAGGAGCTCATCGTAGACTACTGGAAAAAGAAAACAATCATTCAACCACTAATCATCAATGGGGACTGTGTGGGGCGGGTGGCAGACTTCCGCTTCCTAGGAGTCCACATTGAGGAGGTTTTAACTTGGAGCAAGAACACCTCTGAGCTGCTAAAAAAGGCCGAGCAGAGACTTTATTTCCTGAGAGTACTCAGGAGGAACAACATCACACAGAGGCTGCTGTTGACCTTCTACCAAGCCTCCATAGAGAGCATGTTGACATACTGCATGTGCGTGTGGTACACCAGCTGCACAGTGGCTCACAAGAAAGCGCTCCACAGGGTCATCAACACCGCACAGAAGATCGTTGGCTGCCCTATCCTCACACTGGAAGAACTACACGGTTCCCGCTGTCTCAAAAAAATCCTGAACATTCTAGAGGACACCTCTCATCCAGGCCACCGCCTGTTATCGTCAGGCAGACGGTACAGATCCATCAGGGTAAAAACAAATAGACTCAAAAACAGCTTTTACCCATCTGCAATAACTGTAATCAACACTGCTAAAGTGATCTAACATACACATTGGTGCTTGATTAGGCTACGTTTGTCTTACGTACGTTTTAATTGTGCAGACAAATAAAATCCAAGGTTACTGGGCAGTTTATTATACAGGTTTCAGAGGTGAAATATTTGTCTCATATTGTATTCCCGTCTTAAAACGTAATAAGTAACGGACATTTAAACTCATCAGAGACGGTTCATCACCAAAATCTTTCATATTTAAGTCATTAGGCTATACTCTTGGACTAAATAAAGTAAAATAACATGAATAAAAGTAACATGAACTAAAATAAAATAAAATAAAGTAAAAGACAAAAAGTACTAGAAAAGCTAATACAATAAAGTAAAAAAAAGTGCAGCAAGGGACCAACAGGGAACCTTGTTATCCTTTCTACTAGTCCTACTTCCTTATTTCCTTTCCCTTCTTTGTCCCTTCTTCCTCCTTTACTTTCTTCCCTATTCATCTCCCTCTCTTGTACTTCCCTTTGCTACCTTTCCTGTCTCCCTCCCTCTCCTCTCTCTCTTTCCTTCCTCCCCTCCTTCTCCCCCCTCCTCTCTTCCAGCTCTCCGCCCAGACAGACCAGGCAGTCAGTCCGGCCTCTCGGTCCGACAGCAGCGGACCACCAACAACACTCACAGTTTATCACACATGGATTCTTATAAAAACCCAAATGAAGTGCAGCCGAATATTCACCTGTAGGACCATAAGCAACTGTAAAGTCTTCTAAATTATTTTTAACGGACTTTACTTGCCGGATTCCAGCGTTTTATTTAATCCGAATTGACAATTCAATTCAGGCGTTTTTCTAAGGATTGCAACATCTTACATCTTACTGTGGAAAATGTGGATTATTAACATTTCAACGTTTTTAAACCAATTTTTTCTTCACATGGTGAAGGAAGGACCGTCGTTCACGTCTGACAAGTGATAACGTTTAATGTGAGTTTGATAAGCTACAGAAAGTGAGATGGTGAATACTGGAATAATTATAATAATAATTTTTCCAACAACAAATTAAAATTTTAAAAACGCGACTTTTCCAGCCTAGGTCTCTTCCCTGAAAGACTGATAATCTATTTTAATAATTTTTCGATAAAAACGCGTGTGAACTTGGGACACATTTTGGACATTTGCTTCTATCCGTTGGAGTAAAATCGGATTTAACGGTTTAATTTAACGGTTGCTGTCATAGCGACAGGACCCATCGCGCGCGGCTCACACGCTGCCAGGGAGGAGGGCACGCGCCGGGCATGTTTTCGCGGGCATGGGTGGTTAGCTAGTTCACTACTGCCACCTCTCCCGTTTACAATCTCCAAACTTACAAACAACATGAAGAGGAAACCAGACACCCGCTGAGGTACAGAGAAGAAAGTCCATTTTGATAATGATACCAAGTGGTATCATATTTAGAGGATGTATTGATTTACATTTGAGAGGATAACTGACATTTTGACCGTTGCATGCTCCTGTCCGGTGGGAATTGGTGCTTTTAAGCAGCACGTCTATCTAATACAATGATGGCAATACAAGACTGGTGTTAATGTATGGAGGCTACGTAGTGCTAGCAGAGATTGTAGTGTTAGAGTATGGAGGCTTATTAGTGCCAGTAGAGGTTGTAGACCATCTGTGATGCAGACATTTTTATATTCTATTCTTGAAATGTTGGTAACAAAATTAATAATGATTTAGTAGGGAAAAACAGATGCACATTGCTTTCTGTGGAAAAGAAAAAAGAAAACAAACATATATTGTTGGCATAGTGTAATAATGACAAATCTTCTTGAAATAACTAACTAACTAGACTAACCATGATCCGTACACAACGATATTCCGTACAGATGACCTTTTCTCGCCGATCGCTGAATAAATACTTCCAGGTTATACATAAACTACATAGGCCTATGTGTGTAATCATAATTTCCCCCTCTTTTATTCCCAACCAAAAAAGAGACCCCCCACCTTGTTTCAGTGGGATTTCAGTAAGTTTGCTAGGTGCACCCACTGCGCTTGAAAATGGAGGGTGGGCAAGCTGCAGTCCAAAAAGCAGCTTGGGTGGGGAGACTACTACAGCAGCAAAAATGTACATTTAGTTTGAATTAATGCTTCTCACAATACTACAGTCTTTATGAAATGATTTTTATGTTATCACAAATCATTAAATATATTGCATTTTGTTGAATCATTTCTTTGAAATAGGATTTTTTAAACGTCAGGGCAATGACCGCTTGGCGCCACTCTCACACTGAGACAGGCAGCAAAGACGCAGCACGTTTGTCAACACAGACGCTGTTTGCATGTCATCCTGTGTGCAGTGATGATGTTTATATTTATAAAAGATTAAGATAAGGTTAAATATTTTTTAACAAATGCACATTGTTTGCCCTTATTCTTGTTCTTCAGAAAGATATGGTAATGTTGTTCACTAACATTTTACATGGTTCATGCTTGACGTGCCTTCTAGCTTATTAAAGCAGTAATTAACTTGTGTTTTAAACAAATTAAATGTCCTGACCTTTATTAATAATTTAAATAATTTCCTCTCTGTTAAAATAAATTAATAACTCACATATGGTACATGTAATAACGTCCATGACTGGCGACCTGTCCAGGGTGTACCCCGCCTTGCGCCCGATGTCAGCTGGGATTGGCTCCAGCAACCCCGCGACCCTCTACGCAGGATAAGTGGTTGACGATGGATGGATTGATGGATGGATAACGTCCATTTTCACCATTGAAATCAAGTTATTCGGTCTGTACGGAACACCGTTGATAGCCTGTACAGAACACCGTTAACCCTAATGAACATCTGTACACATGCGGAGGAGGTACTTTTCCCCACATATCTCAAATACTATTGGTTCAAAAGACATCAATCAAAGAATAAACCGTCCAATAGGTATCACCCCAGGGAATGAGCATACAAACATGCTTGTCAGGCTCTCAACAACAACGTGGTGGTCAATGGAGTGCAGTGAAATGCGCAAAGTGTACAGGACATGGTTAGTCTACGTTAGATAGAAATATATGATAATGAGAGAAATATTTCATTAATCTAGTTATTATAATTAGCAGTGACGGTGTGTGTATTAAATTTGTTGCAATAATGTCATGTAAAACAATCCTACTCCATCACAATAAGAGTCTTGCTTTTTAACTTATAGGTCAATACTATATCAACTTGGAAGTATTAGCAGGAAGATTTAAAATGAAAAGCAGGCCAGACATCATAAAGAACAGTGCCTGTTCATTAAACCGTGAGGAGAAATTGGTTTTGTTGCAGTTGCTCACCTTGCTAAAGAAAGCATTAAAAAGAAGTAATCATAAAAACACCAAGGGAAAATAAAAAAAATATAGTGTTGAAATATGTACAGGATTCTACAGTATGTAACAGACGTGTATAATAGTAGAAATAATAATGATTTCTGATAATGTTGAGAGCTGGAATGGATTTAAATCCTTAAAAATTGCAGTAATGGGACGGAATAAAATATTGAAATATTGAAAGAATATTGCAAATTAATCAAGCATTGTACATAAATCATGAATCACAGTTAACCATATTATGGCTATTAACCACAGCCAGCAGAGTAAAATATGCAATGTTGGCTTAAATCTGAATGGAAAGTGGTATATAATGTAGTACTTCAGCAGAGTTGTTGCCACGGTCATGAAATTAAATTTGAAATTCAAATTCATAACCAGTTTATATTACAATTCATGAAAATAGTGCTTTAATGTAATATGAGCCAGACACATTCAGGTATCATACAGTTCTCAATACAATTTTTAAAAACATTTTAACTCTTTAACTTTGAATAACAGATTTTCTCTTGGTGACCTTTGATTTTATGAATTCCCCCCTCTGACTTTAGACTAAAAAGACAGTCTAGTATTGCACATGATTGCAATACCCGACATATTGTGCAATATTATCTGTTTTAATACTAATGTGCAATATTTTTTGTTCTAAATACTCAATGTGCAGTATTCTCTGCATCAATACTCTGTCCCAATACTGTAGTTTAGGAGGATTGTATCCATTGCACATTGACTCTACCGGTACTCCTTATTAGCTATTAGTTAATTCACTACTTGTATTTATGATTACATTTCTGTTACTGTGAAATACTGTACATATCCACACTCCATTATTTAGATTTCTATATTTCATTATATTACTACTACCGAAATACCTATTATTTCTATTTCTTAATTCCTTGATATGCAAAGTGAGCAATTGTAACAAGGAATTTCCCCTCTGGGATCAGTAAAGTATTTCTGATTCTGATTGGAATGCCTAAATGAGTAGTTGATTATATTTTTATCAGTTTTAATTATTACATATTGAATGCACCATTTTGAAAACATACATTACAAAAACCTTGCGGTCAACAATCAGTCTGTCATGAAAGTGTCATTAAATCTGTCATTTCTTAGGTGGATTTCAAATGTTTTTATTACAGGATGACAATGTGTTTCCCCCCGTTTTGTACTTAAGAAAACACTCATCACTTTTCTGTATAACACATTTAACTCTGCTTCGGATGAGGTGGGCAGGGCAGGCAGGAAAATTGCCATTCATTCATTTTCCAGCTTCAGGGAGTTTTTCTCTCACGACTCAGCATGGTCCCAAAGTCACAAAGGCCACTCAGGACTGACGTGGACTAAATGATTACAGGGAATTCGACCGTGACCAACAAAAACAGGTCTCAGTGTTATTAGTTTTACTTATAGGAGGAAGTATGCATAGCCTAATTGTTGGAGCTAAGATAACAGGACAAGACTTCATTTATGTTGCATGTTTGGTAAATGTCTCCCTTGTGTGTTTCTACAATAAACAGGGATAAATTATTCAGCTGTGGTGGAAGTGGACTACCTGCTGGGGAGAGGATGGCCTTTTGGAAGGAGGGCTCTGCTCTCCTGCTGGTTCTGCTGGCCTTGCTCGACCTACAGCCAATCACCGGGCGATCATCTCGACAACGCACCTTGAGACGCCAAACTCGAGGGCACCATGAACACCGGGCCCAACAGAACATCACGCTGGCCGTCATTTTACCACAGAACAACACAGATTACCCTTGGGCTTGGCCTCGCATTGGTCCCGCCCTGCAGCGGGCGATCAAGACCGTAAACGCGGACCCCACTCTGCTACCTGACCACCACCTCACCTACGCTTTCAAGAACAGTGAAGACAAGAACGGCATCTGCTCCGAGTCCATCGCCCCGCTCATGGCTGTGGACCTTAAACTTGAGCATGACCCGTGGGCTTTCATCGGCCCTGGCTGCTCCTACACCTCCTCGCCTGTTGGCCTCTTCACCACCCACTGGGATGTTCCCATGGTCACGGCTGGGGCCCCGGCCGTGGCCTTTTACGGCGGCGTCTACCCGTCCATCACCAACACAGGCCCGACCCACAAGAAGCTTGGGAAGTTTGCCCTGCGGATCTGTGAGCACTTTGGGTGGCGGGAGCATGTGATGCTCATGTTCAACGACAACAAGGTGGATGATCGGCCGTGTTACTTTGCTGTGGAGGGTTTGTTCACGGAGCTGAAGAGCATCAACATCACCCTCGTCGACAGAGTGTTTGAAGAGAACAAGCCTCCGGTCAACTACTCTCAAATCCTCACAGACATTAAAAACGACGGTCGCGGTGAGTTGCCTTTCAGCAGCTAAATGTTGGTTAATTTTCAAATGCACATTTTCTTTGTTTGTTTGTTAAGTTCATATCCAATTTCTTGACTGGGACTTTTCCACTGCATCTCACAAACTGAGAACTAGATGCTTTCAGAGGTCCCCTCGGTTCCTAGTGCCTGAGACATGACCTGGGTGTTAGGCTTGGTTCAAAACTAGACAACCAATATTCAGTCTAATTAGGTCTGGCAGGCTGTACTGCAGCAGGGCTCAGGCCTAAACAGAGCCCATGTCCCTCCGCTTCCGGTAGGAAATTATTTTGGGAAAAATGTAGTCAACGGCGAGAGACAACTAATGTTTTCTTCCTGTTTGAGTTATGCCCTGAATTACACACATGATGTTTGTCAATTTAAAATGTAAATCTGCAAGTCAAGAAAGTCACAGTTTGTAGTTAAACTGTTGAAGTAGAGGACTGTGAAAATAGGTAATTACAAAGACCACAAACCTGTACCATCATAACTTTTTCTCTCACTGAAGCTAACGTCAGTGAGCTTCCATATATAGATGATCTGATAAAAAGACCATGAGTCGTTGGATTAAACACATCAGGTGAGATCTATTTGTGCGTGGAACATAGCTAAGCTACCTAGCTAGTAGCAAGCAAGTATTGAATGTTAGCTTAGCATTACAGCGTTAACATGTTGGTGACATATATTGTGTGAGTAGTTGTCTCTTGCCATTGACTACCAAACATATTTTTTAAAATAAGGTCCCATGGGCGAAAGGGAGGGAGTGTGAACTGTGGGAATAATTACCTGTATTGTGGCTTTTCTCATTTAGGTATTGGATTGATTGATTGATTTAGTAGATCTGAAACATTTGGTGAGATTGAGGGAGCTGACAATAAAAAAAGATCCCCAGATGTAAGCCTAAATGGAGAGCTGTTACTGTGTGTCTTAACAGCTCACCAAGCTACTTCCCATGTAGACCCCGGCTGCTTGTTAGTTGGTGGCCCATCATGTTGCTGCCACTGCTGCTGTTCTTTCTGTTTGGGTCTGTTCGGGTGGACCGCATTTTGACTAAGGTCAAATTCTCCTCGGGTCTGTTTTTGTCTGCATGTCCTCAGATCTCAAATCAGGTCTCCTTTTTTTAAAAATTAAATGGTGCTTCCAAGGTCCAGTAGGGTTTTGATTTAGCCCAGGTAAAACATTTTTGATGCTACTGTGATGTTTGTGTGGCTGCCACAACTGATTATTTTCATTGTCCGGGTAATCTGATCAAAGCCCCTCATAATGCCTAGACAGAAGATATTTAGTTATGTTATCATTAGTGCTGACCACGTTAACACGTTATTATCGCACGTTAACGCATAAATTAATTAACGCCAACAATTATTTTATTGCACGTTAACGCAGTTTTTTAAATTATTATTATTTTGAAAGTCCGTTGCTCACTGGCTCTGAAAACACCTACAGTAAACCATGGGTCACTGGGGGGGGCGGGATGTTGATCAGCCCACAAATCAGCCACCCAAACAAGCAGTGGAGGGAGGCTTCAGCAGACCACACTGTCATCTTTTTCCCATATTTTTTACCTGGTCCTGCTTGTAAAATATCCACTGCGACTTGTAATGTCATTTCAAGTTTTTAACACAGTGAAGTCTGTGCGAGTGAACGCATGCACATAAGACGACCTCTACACTCACCGTTTTAATATAGACATGAACATTGTGTTTATGCTGTTCAGAAAACTGGACTCTGATGGTAACTTGTTTTAACAAACTGTAAAAGGTAATGCCCTGGCAGTGGCAAACAGCTTTGGTTTAACATTGGATTTGATTACATTAATGTTTAAGTTGAGATTTACAAGAAATAATTTATTGCAATGAAATCATTAATCAATTATCAAAAGAAGCTCCATGTTTCCATCTAATTGACACATCTAATTAAAATGTTTCAAAAACAGAAAAAGAAAAGTGTATGTGAAATAGTTGTGTTTCCATCAGCTGGTTTGACAAAAACGCTCAGTGGACTTTCCGGGTGAAATTATTTATATTTTGCAAATAGATGATGCACTTTAAGGACTTATTTTGATGCAAAGATCTGTACATTAGCAGAAATGCAGCACATCATGGATGTGGATATGAAATTTGAAAGTACATTAATAATATGTTGTCCCTAAACATCAATGAATAATTGTGTCTCAATATAGATCAAAACAATCGTGATTATCATTTTGTCCATAATTATGCAGCCCTAATGGGTTGCAATCGAGTTGTCCAAGTAGGATTGTAGGGTTGGAAAGGGCATTTTAAATACTGCAGGCCAAAGTGACCCAGATCTGCCCAAGTCACATACAATCTGATCATTTGCTCACTATCCTTTTCTTCCACCTGAAATCCACCTAGTTGTGAGCTCTCTTCTGAATCTTGTGCATGCTACATGAAGGCAATGAACACAAAGTTGTGAACATTTGTCGTAAATCTGAGAATTGTGACCCCGGAAAGAAACCTGGAGAGGTCAACGAAAAACAGAGTCTCCCTTCGGATCAGTAGAGTTAGCAAGTATGAGCTAACCTCCTTGTATACTTCTGTACGACAGTGTGCTGCGTGTGGCGTCGTATTATTCTTTTGCACATGGATGTTACTGTCAGCTGGTTGCTGCACAGATGATGCTGCAGTGAGCCAATGATACAGAGACAGCTGACTGATACAGCTGACACAAAGGCATCTTCATGTGGTGTTCATTAGATGTTTGATTGCTTCATTATATATATATATGTCAAGTTTACAGCCGTCTTTAATAACGACATATGAATTCAAACTATTTTCCCCATAAGCTGCCCTTACTAGACCTTTATTCATTCAGTTTAATCAATATAATCCAGATATAAACACTGTAATTGGTTCCAGATTAAAGAATGCTCTTTATTAACGTGTGTGTATTCACCGCCTGTATGTTGTAAAAATGAATTCTAGAAAGGAAAAAGATTCCTTCAGATACAAACTGCAGGCTGGAAAAACCATTTCTTCTGAGTCGCTGAGTCCAGGCTGCAATGCTGAAATGACAAACAACAACACTGAACAAACTGCAGAGCGACAGAATGAGAACACAGCAGGAGAGGAGCGGTCAAAGTGCAGCAGGGCCGTGTGTCTAATAAACACCCTGTTCCCCTGAATTACCTGCCGGATAATCACAGGCTGTCATGCATATCACGGGCGAACACGCTGATATGAAGGGCAGAGGGCTCGTACACTTCAATAAATGAATATGTTCCTCAGTATATCTTGTGTACTTTCTGTTTTAAAGCACTAACCACTTAAATTTCTCAACTTGGCATCTCTAAAGTTCCCTGCTCTCATTTTAAAGCTTGTAACATCACTAATAACCTTCCTCTGTGTGCTAAGCATGTCCAAATCAAATTCCTTCCTCAGAAATCAACAATTTTATAAGCAACTGTCTGAAGATGAAGAGGAAGAACAGAGTGGTTGATATCTCATTTAAGTGAAAATATTCAAGGATTCCTCTTTCCATTCCCCAGTGGCATCTTAACCTCTGGATTTTCACCTTAAATTCCTCAACCTGGCAACACATGAGTGCTTCTAATGTATGCATTGTTAGTGTAACTGATGTATGACCTGTTTCGGAAATGGTTTTTCCAACCTGCAGTTTGTATCTGAAGGAATCTTTTGACTTTAGGGCTGCCACTAATTGTTATTTTTGACAAACCAATCTTTTTCATAATTTATACTTCTGCATTGAATCTACTGCTTAGCTTGACACGCACCTCCCCTAAAATGTAACTACATGAAACTGATTGGTCAGCTTACTGCAAAGGCGTGGTCACCTTTAGTCCTGAGTCTGGACTTAGTTGGAACAGATACCAGAACCCTGCCCTAGGATGTGAGGCTGCGCTCTGGCTCAGGGGAGAAGCAAGACAAAACGATCAATTCTAAATCTAACAGGTAACGAAGGGAGAGAGGCTAAAACGGGACCGATGGGGCGGTTGCGGCTCAGGAGGTAGAGCGGGTTGGCTGTTAATTGGAAGGTCGGCGGTTCAATCCCCGGCTCCCCCTGGTTGCATGTTGAAGTGTCCTTGGGCAAGATACTAAACTCCGAATTGTCCCTGGTGGCTGTTCCGTCAGTGTATGAATGTGTGTAGTTCATCAGTAATAAATATTTCTTTTTCAATGTATTATTATTATACTAATTATTATTATTATGACTAGACTTTCATTGATGCTCTATTACTGTAAGATAGACACTAAAGACGGTTATGATTTTTAAGAATGTTTGAGCACTTCGGCTCAGTGTATGAATGTGTGTGACTGGTGAATGCAGATGTAGTGTAAAAGCGCTTTGAGTGGTCAAGAAGACTAGAAAGGTGCTATACAAGTACGGAGTTATGATGTGATCTTGTCTTTGGCTGCATTTTGTACCAGCTGAAGTCATCGTAATTTTCTGGCTCAGCCCTAAATGTAATCAATTACAGTAATCTAATCTAGATGAACTAAAAGCATAGATGACCTTCTTTAGTGAGGCGATTAATCCTCACTGTAAGGAGTTAACAATACTTTTTCTTCTTCTGTTGTATTTCTGAGTTTTTGAACGCTTAACCATTTTTTCAATTGAGAGAATTGTGGTTGTGTTGTGCAGCATTTTGTAATCTTCTTCCCAAAACACAACCTGACATGGTATTTTTTAGTCTTGAATGAGTCTACAATTGAAACACAGTGGCGACATGATGTAAATACTTCAGTCTTTCTGAAATAACACTGAATAAAACACGTGGATAGGCACATGGCTGTCAAGCTAAAAATAAAATAAGAGGTTGCTCAGTTCCTGAAAAGCTGACATTTAGGAGATACGAGGTAAAAATAGCCCAAATAACACAGCACGTCAGCCTGTATATCTTATCTTATTGCAACCATATACTGTTTTAACTCTACCAGCTATTTATCTTGTGTTTGCACATCATTATCCCTCCGCCGCAAGTACTCAAACTAAATAAGCAAGTCAT